CACGATAGATGCGGAGACTAGAGCTAGTTGGCTAACAGTAGACTTGTTTGATCATAGACGTAGCCCATGGAGCAAAGGCTTGACCATGAGAATTACTCGGGCTATTTAGCCTCAAGTTCCGTCCAGTTTGATAATCCTGATTTTTAGGGGGCTACTCAGCAACGCGGAGGTGTGTGCCATTAAAGGCTTGAGACGGTGTAGAAAATAACGCTTCGAGTAGTACAGATAAGGTGGCAGGGGTCGAGTAAAATACCTGAACCAGGAAGTTAGGAGGCGGATCCTACGGTGCAGCAGGGAGACTCTGATAAGACCTATAGGAAGAGGATTTCAGGGTGAGAGGGTGAGAAGGCCAGTGTGGGGTTTGGAGAGTTCTCATGAAATCCGCTAAAAATGGCACACCATACCACATATAACTAAGCAAGAAAAATTGTGATAGTGAACAGGGCAAAGAAGAGATAATACAATTGTTTAGCGGACAATTGGCCAAAGGATCCGCCTCACTTGCCTCTTTGACGAGTTGTAGTGTGGTGCTAGGACTGGCAATGCTCACTGACGATGCCAACTACGATGCCGGCGAAAAGTCTGGGAATGTACCACGTCCACGGTCCTACTCTGAAAATTATCAGGCATACTATGGACTCCGGACCAGGTTGTTTCCTCTAGGTCTTCTTACCAATATGACCAAGTTGCTAAAGCAAGGTCATGCAACTTCTATGCATTTAATCAAATTGATAATACTTGCGAAAGTAAAAGATTAGACTATGAGTTGATTAGAATGCGAGATAAATATCCCCTTTTAAATTTGTTGCAAAATACGTATAGATTGGAAAGATTTACATTTAATTGCATCTTACCATTCGGCAGTCAGCTTGGATATTCCATAGGCAATCCGTACAATAACTGAAATATTTTATTTTGTATTATTCACACTGTGGTCTTTTAGTTATATTAAAACCTTTTTTTACTATTATTACGACAGTTAAGTCTGCATACCTAGTAAAAAGTATTTTATACATTGTAAACCTTAGCCTCCTAAACTAACTTGAATCAGCCGTCTATAAACTACAGGCAAATTTCCATTCTTCTGCAATGAAATAATGCGAATGTGATCCTCTTCACAGATCCAAACTAAAAAAGTCTTTTCTCCATTCTGGAAGACACCACGGCCCAATTTCCAATCCTTGCAACAAGAGAATTCACGCAGGAATCTAGAAATAAGGGTGAAAATATTTTGATTTGTACTTTTTTTTCAAAATATGGAGAAAGAAGATATGAGGAAATATGCAAGCATATATTTATTTCCTAAGGCACATTATTTAGTGAGGAATCCTTTAAAAATGTATTCAGTGGACTACAATTGATGGGGCAAACAACATTTCAGCCTTAGTAATCGAGTATAAGTACATTTAAAGCGAAGTATTCTGAGCTTCAAGCAAGTGTCTTGGTCCTAGATACCAAAAGTACATCCTCTTTTTAACATTAGTTTAACTTGAATCAATTTCAGTTTCATTCATCATTACGCCATGCTGATTGGCTTTAATGGATTTTAGTGGCAAACTCATGGTTCAAAGTTCCATAAAGTCGATTATTTATAATAAATGCATAAATATTAAATATATAATACTAATAAGTAATTAGCGAGATGTATGTAAAAATGTTATGAAATAAGGTTAGTTTCTGGTTAGATTTTTCTCACGGGTGATCGTTAATGACGTGACGTAAAGTTCCTTCATTCATTTCGGAAAGTGGATGATAGATCCCTGCAAGTTCGCCTGGAAGTGTCTTAAGAGCCTCCACGATGGTCTTCTCTACTTTAATACGATCTTCTTTTCCCAAGAGTATAGGAAATAGTAAGTCTTTGATGCAGCGACTTACTCGGATACGTGTAGATAAGACATATTCACCTATATTTTACCAAATATATGTTAAATACAAGGAAAAATGAGTAATATGATAATAATACAAGGTAAATTTCCCCTAATAACAAGGCGTTCATATAGAGGATAATAAAAAATATAATATAATATAATATAAAAGAAGGTAGTTTTAGAAATCTAAAGAGTTTATGCATTTTTACGTGTTTCTAGGGTATATCTAGATTTTGTTTGACCTTGTTTTCGCAACATGGTCATATTGGTAGGAAGACTTAGATGAACGCACCTAGTCCGGTGTCCATTGTCTGCATAATCATTTCCAAAGTTGAACCGTGGACGTGATACATTCCCAACGTTTCGCCGGCATCGTAGTCGGCATCGTCAGTGAGTATCGCCATCCTAAGAACCATACAGCAACTCGTCAAAAAGACAAGTAAAGCCGATCCTTTGACCAAACGTGTGCTATACAATTATGGTATCTCCTCTTCTGCCCTGGGTTATTCGTGTTTCCGGTAGCATCCTATCATGCGTTCACTATTACAATTTTTACCGTGTTTATTTAGATAGTGTGTTGTGCTCCCTTGAGCGATATGATACTTTCACTCTACAACTCTCGTTCTCACCACCCCCCTCATCCTTGTGTAGGGAATGTTGATCAGAGTCTGCTTTATTATTATGCAGTCCTCTTCCCTAGTCTTATC